CCAGAGTGACCTGTGTGGTGGTCTGGACAGTGCCATCTGGATGTAGGAAATTGTTGATCGTGTACACCGCAGGTCCCTGTGCGGGTTGACGAGGGGTCAGGTCCAGTTGCAACAACCGGTTGAATGCAACACCAAGACCAAACTTTGAGCAAGCATGAACATGCAACCAAGAGATCACTGCGATCAAACAGAGCGAAGAACCGCCGAAAGCAATGCAAATTGTTGACACTTTGCGTCGAACATCTCGCAGGTTATGGGGGTCGAAACCTTTGGCTTCACAGAGTATACTTGAGAGCCTGGAGACCAATGTGTTGCTGCACAAGTGGCTGGGCAAACCGCACGATTAGCCACGATCGCGAGGACGATGATAGTAGGTGAAATCTCGTCATTGGCGCTACGAGCGCCCTGAATCTGCGACGGATGTTCAGGTAGCTGTGGAGTGACATTTCTGGCAAGCGAGTCGCACATGTAGCCTAGGACCTTGAGTTTCAAGCAGAACCGGCGGGCCGTAAAATCCGAGGAAGAGGAAATTGGTGAACATCTGAATGTGGAGCCGAAGAGCGGAGTAGTATAAACCTGTTGTCAACGTAGCGTTGGTATCGAAGTGATGTCATAGTCTGATGCCAGCAACAGTCTTCAACCGTGGCAACGAGATTGCACAGTGGAGGTGCAGCGGGCGATCCCATAGCTACTCCACGTCTTGGCGAAAAAGTAACCATTGCTCAAAGTGGCTGTTGGCAATGACAAAATCAAGGGACCAACGCGAAACATTGTTGAAGCCAACCTTGATGTCGTACTGATGAAGTAATACTTGCAAGGCCTGATGAAAACGTTCAACTGGAATGGAAGTGAAGAAGCCCGAAAGATCCTGAGATATAAGTTGAATATACTCGGTTGGGTCCGCAGTGGACAGGCCAGTCCTTCGTGGGCTTGGGTAGGATGCGGTCGGTGGGCAACGGATCATGAAGACGAAAACCCCAGGAGTATTGCTGTTGAAGACGAGGATGAATCGTAGTGACCACGTGAGCGCGGAAAGGTGCAGCGGGCTGAGTGCAGAGGGCGAAGACCTCGCCAGTGCAGAAAGTTCTGTGGAGCAGGGTCGAGAAAAGTGCGGGGCAGAGCACATGAGCTCTTGAAGGAAAATGATCAGCTCGAATCACAACCCAGGGATTGAGAGCGCGAACACCTCCGCAGTCAAAAAAGATCTTGTTGAACGTTGTGACGATGTTCATTCAACAATTCAGTCAAAAGTTGTTGGGTGTCAGCTTCAAGGCTGGAATGTCGTAGATTCCGTTTGCGCGACAGTTTCCGTATCTGAAGGGCTCGTAGTTGTTCAACGTCGCCGAAGTACGATGTTGGTGTCGATCAGGGTGTTGATTTCGCCGAAGCCCGAAATGAACACGGCGTGGGAATGAGCGGCCGTCGCGTGAGATGAGGTGACATCAAAGCAGGAGCAAGGAAAAGAAGTGGCTGGAGTCCATCGCTCTTGCCATTTGCGATATTTGAATATCCGGTCTTTTAGAGTGGCACTGCGTGTTTCATTGACGCGAAGTTTGGGTAGGAAAAGGGATGCCGAGACACCCAGTGTTGAAGCCAAAAGCCAAGTCGAGATTTCCATTGATGAGCATGAACAGGCGGAAGAAGTAAATGTGTAAGCGTGGTCGGCAAAGTGCGATTCCGCTTGTGCAGTACTTGAGAAAGGAGCTTCTTGGCTTTGGATCGAAAAGACTCATTGACAAATTCCACGAGGCGGAGGCAATAGTGCAGCTGAGTGGATGGGAAGGCAGCTGATAATAGTTCGCGCGTGGTTGGAAACGAAGCGCCAGTGTTGGACCCCAGTTTGTGCAAAAGGGGACAATGCGCTTGAATATCATCCAGGCCTTCTGATGAAGATTGGGATGTAAACGCTGTTGAAACAGCTTATGAAGTGAAATGGAAGTAGGCAGCGAAAGCGCATGTCGTTGAAAGTCAACCAAATGATCCAGAAAAACAACCGTGCGAAGTATCCTGTGCACCCAAGGGGCATTGAGGCGCGGACGAAGTGTGTACTGCCACTTGGTCGACGAATTTCAATGGGAATGGTGCAGCGATTCCAATAACGAAGTGCCAGATTGAAAAACACATGCTGACCACTTATGAGTTGCAGATATTTGCGACATCTGGAGTGTTCTCGATGAACGGCGCTGCCTACGTAAAGTGGAGAGTTCCATGCGGACAGTCGTACGTAAACACAAGGTTGTTGAAAATGTCCTGGATCATGTAGGAAATCGTGAAGATCAGGCAATCGAGCCCGTAGAGACCGCAGATGACGTTGTTCCGCAAATTGGGAGCACATGATGTTCAGGAAAATGGACGTTTTGTAAAAGTGAAGGACTTCGAAAAAGGCTGGTGCGTAACCGTTGTCTTGAAGTACAAGTCGCTGAAGAAAACAGAGTAACAGGTAAGCTGAACTCCTCAGTCCTTGAGCAAATGGGCCAATCAACCGGCGCGCCTCAATGGCAACGAGAACCTTGATCCTCTTGCTACCCAACTTCAACAAGCTGGTCTACGCGTTGGCAATGGAGACTCCCTCGTTTGCTTCCATGGCCGCTATGTGGAGTCTGGAACCTGTGTACGTCGACAAGGCATTGTGCATCCTCCTCGTCGCGATCTACTGAGCCCGCAGCTATGTGCCCACGGATTGTAAATTCATCAGTCTGCTTCTGAGTTGTGCGTTTGGCTTGAGACATGCGTTGCTGTTGGACACTACTTGCATCATGTTGCTTTGGCCGTCTTTCGTATTGTGCTGCGTGAGTCTTGAACGTGCGTTTTATTCTCACAGCTCTGTGAGCCTCGTGCGAAGAGCTTCAACGAAGTGGAATACTTGACGATGTGGTCCGATGGCAGTCTCTCTTGTCTTATCTTGACGCTCTGGCTTTCATTTCCGTGCGCTGGTCCTTTGCCTTTCCGGACCAACCTCGACCCGCAGTTCCCGATCCGGAAGTCCGCTCCGGACTTCACTTAGCTCACCTGATATCATCCTTGAATCACTGACAATGGTCCGGATATCACTCCAAGTGCCGATCAGCGCCTTCGCCCACACCAACAACAAGAACGACAACAGATTTCAACTTCACAAATGCAGACTTTCCAGCTGTAGTACTGAACGACCTCCTCCGGCTATGAGCTGTGAGGATCAGAGGTGCCGAAGGCCGCGGAGCCTGTGAGGATGGACCAGGCTGTGTAGCTTGGTTCGCAACCTTGCTACGAGGTGACACGCCGTGAAGAGACTTAACCATCAAGAGCAGCGGCACTGACCGTCGGGACGGAACTGGTCGGCGTAGAGGAGAGATGATGAGTCATGGGTAGCCTTAGTAGAAGCTCATGCTGGCGTTGCAACTCGTGGTATTGTCGAAGTGTGTCATCACCTGTAGTGCGGGTTGTGATGGATTCATGATGCCTAGTGAGGTTATCAGCAACCAACTTGGCCACATGCTCATGGACTTTGATCCTCTGATTGAAGTCTTTCAAGCTGAGACCCAAAGAATCCGCCAGGTCCTTCTCCAAAGTGAGTAGGTTAAGAGGTTGCGATCGACGGAGCCTGGTTCTGGTAGCCCATGGGTGGGATCATGTGGCATCCCTGGGAGTGCTGGAAAGGAGGTGGTGGTGGCGGCACAAAGTTCAACTGACATGTGATGTTGGGACATCAGGGAGTTGTTGTTGTTGGGCTGCCCCATCATCGGGCTGCTCCAGTCAGGATTCTCAGGATGGGACAGTCATCACGTTCATCTCGTCGCCAGGCTCCTGTCGCTGCGTTGGCGAACATGGGAACGATCACGTTCATCACGACAAGGCATGGTCAAAGGAGTCTACGTGAGACCGAAGATCAAAACTTGAGCGTCAACAAGAGCGCACACAAGCAGTGACAGATATCAGGAGTCAATCCAAAACTCAAGATCATGTATCTGCGAGCATGCCACGCATCAAGCAAGCGCAAATCAAGATACAACGGCGACCCGGAGTGCAGCCAATACAACGACAGCAAGTGAAACGGTCTATGATCTGGTGGCTGGGTTACCTTTAATGAAACGTTGAAACGGCTGAACTTGCAATTACGCTGGTCTAATGATCAGTATGATGAGGTCAATTTTTCCGGTAAGTATCGGGGTGAACGCACTTAAACTCGCAAGGGAGAAGCTGATCCTTCGAGTACAACTGATGAGTCTCGAGTGGGTGGGTTTTGGAGTACAACTGAAGGCTGCGTGCGAAAACCGGCGGCTCAACCAGCAAAGAAATGCAAACGCAATCATGCAAATAGACCTTAAATCACTTGCGCAGGTACACGCGGATGATCAGTCAGCGCTTCCCCCATGGTGGTTAGCTTGGTTGGCACAGGTCACCACCATGGGCCTGCACCCCTGCTGAGAATCGGAAAAGGTGGCGACAGGGTAAATCTGTCGCTCCGCACACACACACGCGAAAAACGCAACAAAACACAGACGCCCAAACACAAGGTTTTGTGGTGACACAGCTGCCGCCTGTTTCCCCTTGTCTCGTTGGCAGATTCACTTCTGGCCAGCCCAGCAAATCACGAAGAAAGAAAGTACGGCTTGGCCTTGGGCTACCAAAACCGAGAAAACAACCTGTGTTTTTCAGCATTTTGCCGAGCCTGGCAAGAAAACCGGGTTTTGCGAAGTTGGGCGCGTAACAAGCCCGTGAAAAAAAACGCGTCAAAATACAGATTTGTTGTAAAAAACAACCATACGCAACACCACAATCCTACAAAACCAGGTGTTTCCGTACAAAAAAAAAATCCGGGACTCCTGTGTTTAGTAGCTCATGGTGGGGCGTCAGAAGGGCTCGCATTGCTACCTAGAAAGGCACACGACGACCATGAAAGATGGTCAATGTTCAATTGACTGCAAGAGGACGAACAGAATCAGCAAGTGTCAGGGAAACAATTGCAGACATCTTATACTTCCTGGAGAGACAAATGTCGAGTTCGCAGCCGCGGCCTTCAGGCCTAGATGCTTCAGCATCTGTTGACCCTTCCTCTCCTTCGGCTGGCCTTGTGGCTTGGGCAAGCGACATTTTGATTTTGTCAGTCTCATGTTTTGGTTTGCATTTCGCGTATATGTGTTTTGCTTCGTATTCTGTCCGAGGCATTCCAATGGTCATGCGACAGCTGTCCGGATTTGGGGGCAACGGACTCTGCCGTGTTGGTGGTGGGAGGCATCGCAGGGCCGAAGTTCGTCCCACAAATTCTATAGTGCAGCACAACGCATGTTAGTTCTCCCAGCCATTATACGGGCGATGAAAAGCTCAAATGAAATGCCGGCACTTCATTGATAGTTGTGTTTGGGCCCAGATATGTTTTGCAGATTGTACCCGTAATGTTGCAAGTTATCATTGCGCTTACCGAGTTGCTGCAAAACTAGCCCTGAAGACTGTGCAAGAATGGGGGAAGAACCTGATTTCGCAAAAATCTATTCACATGCAACGAGCTGAAGGCCTTGAAAAAGGATCACGAAATGCCTCCCACATTGTCCAACACTCCGTGGCAGGTGGTCAGTTGCAGGAGGGCATCTACAATTTCAGCGTTGCTGTGCCAAACAGTCGAGTATTTGTGGCACCTTTGAGACCTTGAATTCCAACCCTTTTGGGAGTCCCAAGATCCAGACCTGGCTGTCTGACTTGTTAACACCACGATGTGGAAGCTGCAAGACAGGATGTGGTTGGAGGGCCTGCCGTGTGCATTCCAAATATGTTAACCGTTAGTCAAGTTGATCACCTTGAAAGTCTGTGCCCAGGTTCGAGTGAGCCAAGGAGGAAGAGCCACTGAGCAGATTGGAGCATGCGGTTCTGAAGGTTCGGCAACCGAGCCGAGGTGACAGAGGCCTTCTGGCCGTTGGAAGTCACGAACAGTTCCTTGCCCCCTGTGTCCATTGCCGTCCCTTGGGCCAGCGGGGAGGCCAGAGCGGGAGATTTGGCACTTGCGCAACGCTAGCATGTGACTGGAATGTTCAAGCAAACATAAGCTTGAAAGCATGAGCTGAGCGCATAGCCCGTGAGGCAGTTTCCACACAGCGCGGCTTCCTGGGCGAGGTGACAGCAGCAGTGCCCTTCAGCGCAGGCCGATATCGCAATAAAGATAGAACATCACGATACGTCACGCTTCGAGTTTCGACAGGCTGCACAGTGCCCAGCAGTTGGGTTTGGAGCTTCGTCTTGGTGGCAGCTCGGAGATATGGCAGAGACGGGGACGGCAGGGAGTGCAATGTGCGGCCCTCAACTCGCCGTAGGAAGAGAGCACTTCATCCCTGGCGTTCCTGCAAACCACGACGTCCTTCACCGCGAATGGGCTTACTCTTGCCACTTCTGATTTCCCGCGTGTGATTCCAGGCCTGGACCAGCCTGGACCTTGTGACAGGGCATGACAATGATTTCCCGCAGGCCGGAGATATTCGTATTCTGTGCTGGTGCAGACGCAGGCGAGGAAGAGAAAGAGAGAAATAGAAAGAGAGAGAGAGATTAAAAAAAAGAAGAGAGAGAGTGAGGGAAGGACTCCGCGAGTTTTTGGGGACCGGAGTGCGCGCATTGCAGGAGATATTGACGTGGCTCCTGCAGCCTCCAGGTTCTGTGGCTGAGGCGATTGCTGGTGGAGCCCGAGTCCTTCACTCGTCCCCGCGACTTGGCAGAACTCGGAACACACGCTCAAGCGATAGCCAGGCAAGGGAACAAGGATCAAGAACGGCTATATCAAGGGCTATAATAATTATAGTAGGCTATTTTGCTATATAGGCTATACGCTCCACGTGATATTGAGAAGTCACTCCGTGACTCAATTCACAGACGCACTCTCAGGTTTCTGGCAGATGGCCCCCCGTCCGGTGGAACTGTTCAATGCAGTCCGCAGTTTGGATTCGCTGTGACCACAGCTTTCGCTGGCACAACAATGGGATGGAGTGATGAGGATGTGCGCTGAATGAAGTTAGCGCTACTTATGCCTTTTTGTTCACACGGGGCAGGCTGGCACCAAGGAAAGCAGTCTGACTTATGCGTTCTATCTTCTGCCACTGCAACAGAGTCTTGTTTGCAAGCGATCGAAGCCAGGCTCACGACATCCGCATGTCTTGGCACTTGAAGCTGTATCAGGAATCTCACCATTGCTTCAAACGGAGGAGGCGAGTGAAATCCGGTATCCAAGACCTCTACAAGTTGAGGTTGTTGGCTGGGATCATGTTGGTCAATCTCCAGATGTTTGGGAGGAAGAGAGAGAGAGACTTACGCAGGTGTTGTGACCGACGGCATCTTCCAGCCACCAGTTGTGGAGCCTTGGGACGAAGTCATTGAAACAGAGTGGCGGGCGCCCACTGCCGTATTTCTAGCTGTTCGTCGCGTGTGTGACCGTCTTGGCTGAAATTAGACTGCCAGGATTGGACCAACGTGAGCAGCCCATACTACTGGTCCACGATGGGGGGCATGTTTCTCACAAATGTCTCGAACCCGTTTGCCGCGCAATGGGAACTGCAGGCAGGACTAATTCGAGTCCAATCTTGGAAGAGCCTGAACTCGAGTTGCAACAGTCAGACCTCTCGACTCAACTCGATGCCTCGATGCCAGTGGTTGAGTGGTCGCGTGATCGAGTCGAGTCGAGCTCGAAGGCGGCGGCTGGCAGCTATGCCACGGCGGTGGTGGCACGTGACCGCTTAGGAGCCGTTTCTGCATCCTACGCCCCGGGACCGCTCATTGAAGATCCACCAGGCCGGGCGCGACGCGATTCGACGCGATGCAACGCGACAGCTTGTTGTCACTTCGGTTTGGTCAGTTTCGTCTAACGCGTGCGAACCGTGCATTCTTAGCTTGTCAAAGACCGCAGCTGAAGTTGACATCACATTCTGAAAGGCATCACTTCCAACTGATCGACCTTTCGCGCAGCTCGTTCGAACGAATGGTGAAAAATTCGTTCATTGACTTGTCGTTTTTTTTTTCTTCTCGATCATGTTTATCGAGTGTTTCGTCTTTTTCATGTCTTGTACTCTCGTTTTTTCACGTCTTCCGGTCCAGGTGGGGTGGGGCCGGAGTTGGCCCTGTCCTTCCTGGAGACGATCGTCACCAGCCACGATGCTACGTACATCCTCAGCGGCCTCGACTCCTTGGCCTCCGTCACCTTGAGTCAAGCCCCGCGGAAGAGAGAAGGAACAGAAACGAAAGGAAAAGACTCGGAAAGGACTCCAACTGAAGAACGGACAAGACGGAGACGAGAAAGATGAGGAGAAAAGGAAGCAAAAATATTGAAAAGCATGTTGGAGTGTTCACAAGTGACGAATTCTTGCTTGCCATCCTGCAGGCCAACAGCACGGTTGATGCGGCAGCGGTCTCACAGAAGATGGTAGAGGCTCCGGTTTGATTCAGGATGTTTGATTTGGGTTCAGGATGTTCAGCCAGATATCAGACTGATTGCATCCAGGCACTCAGCTTGGCAGCCGATGTGTTGGAACCCTCTGAAGAGAGACTCTTGGCTGCAGAGTTTCCGGAATCGCGGGCCGTTCTCCGTGGCATGGACTTCCCCGAGTCCGTGTGGGTCTATTTGAATGCATGTCCGTGTGTTTTGTACTTTGCGACAATTCCGAAATTCCGAATTCCTGTGGCTCGACACGCGAGGTCTTACCAGTTTCGGCACAGTGGTGAGCCACGGTCTCAAGAGCGAGCTCTTCGGGAATGACATCCCAGGGGTGTCCAGTGCACTGGACGTTGTGCTGGATGTGACGCGGCAGAAGCTTGAGGCAAGAGACAAGAAATGGAGAAACGAAAGTGAAAAGGGACAGAAGGACTGAGATATGCTGCATATGCTGCATATGCTGCATATGCTGCATATGTGGAGTGCAGCCACCCGAGGCATCGTTGTCCTTCGAAGGCCCGGCTGAAGGACTCGCAGAGCACAAGAGCCCCTATGCGTTTGAGCATGAGAAGTTTGCAAGTTGCCAATAGCTGCGGGCAGTTTGGCAGTTTGCGGATATTTTGTTTAAATTTACAGGTTGAAGTTTAGAAGCTTGGAGCTTTGATTGTTTGGCGCTCTTTCGAAGTCCCTGAGGTGCAAATCAGCCCGCTGGGACGTCGCTGCTGACGGCGGTGGCGGACGTGTCGGACCGCCTTGCCGTGGACGGCAGCCTCTCGGCCGTGTCTCATGCGGCCTATGCCTCGAAGCTGCAGGTTCTTGTGCCTTGGCCGAGTTTTCGAGTTTAGACGTGAAATCTTCTGCTTGTATTGCTTTCTTACTTCACATTTGCTTCTGTCAGGTTTCAAAGCTGGGGAGTGCTGTGCTGTTGCAGCTGCCAGATGGGGGCGCGGTCCAGATCTCATCGAGAGGGCTCGGCCAGCGGGTGGCGACTAGGCAAACCACAGGAAACCACAGCTAACCAAATTGCCAAGGCAAGTTGCGCGAACTGCAAACTCAGCAAAGGAGATTTTGGTCCTCAAGGAGGCCACAAGCACCGCCACAGAGCTTGGCCTTTCGTCAGGAGATGTGCAGGCCTCGCATGACTCGCATGACTCGCATGACTCGCATTCAGATAGTCCATGGACTTGCCAGGTTCCGGGCTCGGCGTTGGTCGGAAGACGCCTCGCTGAGTGCAACTCTGTCGCGACGCAGACCACTAGCTACGTGAACAGCGCGGAGCTTGGCCTTTTGCACATTGCGCATACAAACATTGCACATGCCTGAGGCAATCCGTTCACGTACTTGGACTCCAGTGGCTTAGCAGGGATGCAGTTTGCAAGCGAATCACAAGTCCAGTTAGGAGAGAAGGCCTTTTCTGAAGCCTTACGTACTGCGTTTGCGTGTGATTTGCTATTGTCCTTCTTTGGCTTTGTGCTTTGTTCTGAGTGTTTGTTCGTATGTTAGGTTTGGGTCTGAATGCGTTCGTCAATTTGGGCGCCACGGTGACAACATTGGAGATCAAGAAGTGCCTCTCCGTGGTCACCAAATCCGCCTTGGACCCGCCCATCGCCCTGCGCCTCCCCCTGAGCCTCAAATGCAACTGAGTGAAAGAGTCACAAAAAAGAATCGCAAGTAATGCAAACGAAGCCAACAGGAAAAGTCAAGAGAAAAGAGAAGTCAAGTAAAGATAGTTCAAGTAAAGAGAAGTTTGACGTTAGAAGTAGCAGCATGTTGCGCTTACTCGGAGCACTCGGAGAGGTCAGAGAAGTGGGCAAAGCGGCATATGAGAAGGACCAGAAAGAGATGAACGAACTGCGGTAAGAGATGAAACAAAGAAAGATAACAAACAAACAAACATTGCAGGGCTGCCCTGTACCGACCCCACGAGACTTGCTCGCGTCGAAATTTGCCAGCTCGAAATTCGAAAGTGCTCCATGAAACGAAGTCTTCACGAACGGACCGTGTGAACCGTGTTGGAAAAATGAGCTGCGCGTTCGAGATCGGAATCGGTCGTAAAGGAGCCCACCGCGTCCGAGTCTCCGCCTCTCCGATCGGCTCTCGGCTCTCGGAAGTCTCCAGAGGTCGCAGAGGTGCACCTTGCAATTCCTTGCACCTTGCCATCGGCGCCCTTTCTCACCGGGACGAGAAGACCACGACCTGTGGACAGACCGAAAGACGGGAGTACCGGTGAGAATCCCAGGTCGTTTCTTTGGAAGGGGCCATGGGGGACGTCGCCCCAACGCGACTGATCACTCAAGATCAACTGGGTCGATCTTTACCTGAGGTTGCCGAAAGGCTCAGCCAATCCGAGCAAGGAACCCTCAGGCGCGCCCAAACCACAGTCAAAGATCAAGAACATGTTCATGGAAGACCTGCCTTCCATTCCAACGTAAAACTTGCTGAACTTGCGGTTGAAAAGGCAAGCCACGTGTTTTGGACATCTTGCAGGTAGGAACGGTTTTGACGTGATGTCTTCCAGCGGACGACGCGTGACCATGAAGATGTTCAGAGAACAAGCGCCACATGTCAACCTCATGGCACCTGGGCACGGACCACGGTCAAATGTGCAGTGCTGCAGAACATTGAGAAGGGCCAGCAAAAGGTTCAGGAGAAGAGGCGACGCTATCTTCCGATGGTTGAACTCGTGGCACCCACGGCCAAATTCGAACAGAGGCACAGTCGGTGTTCCAACGTCGGGGGCCCCGAAACACCACGACAATGGATCCTGAATTGCTCTCAACAGTGATTCTCGTCAAGTCGAGTCACCTGGAGTGATCTTGATTTTTGTTAATCTGGACTGCAGGATCCTGAGACCAAGCTCAGATGTCTCACGCCGACCAGCCAGCTTCACAATTTGGCGAAAGAAGTGGTGCGACCGATTTGCAGAACCTATGAGAACTACACAAGTTCTGCGAAACATCAGCATCAACCAGTAGAAGGCAACACGAATAGGACCAGATTGGCATAGATTGGCACAGGTCTAGCCATACCAGGATCTTGCTCCTCTCGACCACGAGGTGTGTTAAAAGACGTTGATGCAATATTAATATCCACCCGGCACCGAGACCGGTTTGTTCTGACAAGACCCAAATAACATTCCCTTGTCGCAACATGTGGATCGGATTCAAAAGATTACGGTGCTTCTTGCACCGTCAACACCTTTTTGGAAAGCTCACGGCCTATTGTGGCGCGGCAGGTCACAACATGCCATTCACATCCCCGCCGAGCTGATGCGTGCGTTTGCTTGTGGCAACCACCTCAATCAAACCGCATATGGGTCATGCCAGCACGCGTGTGTGACGATGAGTTTATTCCAAGACAATGGCACGCTATGCGTGCAGAAAACCTGGGGCCCAACACAGGAGACACATCGTGGTATCGCAAAAATGTGCGACGCTATACCTCGTTACAGACTTCGTTACCCAGCCATCATATACCTCGTTACAGACCCAACCCCAGCCCGGGCCAGTGACCCCTGACCCCCCTTTGCCATCGCCAGATTGGCCAAGCGGGGCCAATACAACAGCCAAATATGTAGGCCAGGCCTCTTTGCTCACTATTTCATCAGTTCGGGTGTCAGCTTTGTGCCATTTGCGCTGGAAGAAACTGGGCCACCAGGACACCTCACCGGGACCAGCGCCGCACCAAAAGTTGAATCTTCAAAATCGGCGATGTTTGGCACGCTCATTCGGCACAGTATACGCCTCCAGGGTCCAAGAAAACCATTAGGCCAAGGCCAAAGGAGAGTGCGCAAGTATGTTGACCGACTCGTTCTGAGGAACCCAAGCATCGGAAGCCCGCCAGAAGGATTTACCTTCGAGCCCGCTTGCGTTCGGCTGGACAAGCAGCAAGCCACGCAGCAGGCCCTTGGGACACAAGTGAACTTGCCACTTTTCCGAAGGTTCCACTTGTTCTTTGTCTAGATGGGTTGACCCTGACACTCTGTTATATGGCTTGCGTTGAATTTGTGAATACTTTTATGGGAAAGACACTGGGGCATTTGCTGTGAGCGCTTGGAAGGCGTTTGATGTGTTAGGGCTGAATGTGCGGATGAACAAGACACTGAAAAGAGCTGTAAGCCGTTTGAGCCCCCGGTACCTGGTTTGTATATCAGGGCTGGCAAAACTTGTTGCTGAGTTGCATTGCCATCAAACTGCACTGACACAAATGGGCCATGGGTCGCCTTGTCCCTTTGATCGGCCAACTGATCCCTTTCATCTTGCTGTTTCCCGAGACAAGAAGTTCGCAAGGTGTGGACCACGGCGGCTATGACTTGGCTGCTTCCAGCGGTATATGCAGCTACATCCATCGAGTGCTATGCGACTGCTGCAGGTGGTGTTTATGCAGGAGTTTTTCTCCCAACACCTCTGCCAACTGAGCCGGCGCCGACTTCGACTTCTCAAGTTCCACCACTTACACCACCCCCGTTTCAGGATCTGCCAGGCGCAGACAGCGCCAACGCCGCAGTGCCCGGCTTGATCATTGCGGGGCTGGCCCTGGTGGTTGCCTGCACAGCTTTGGCTTGTCAGGTGCAACGCAACGTTCGGGTCAAACCAGCCAAAGACTCCGACGCCTGGGGCCCAAAGATCGACCCAGCAGAAGCACGACAAAGGCAGAGGGATGCTGAAGAACATTTCTGGACCTGGGCCAGCGACATTGCCAAGACTCCTTTGGGCGCAAAAGCGAGTCCAAGTCTGGGTCCAGCCAGTCCGGGGCCTCCAGCTGTTCCTGCTGGTTTCACCGAGGATTACTTCAAGGAGTTTGCTGAGGAGATGAGAACTTCCAGGTTCGGTCCGTTTCCCGGTTTCACTTTGCCCGGCGCGGTTTCGGACGTGCCTCCCCCGCCGCCGAAACCGAAGCTTCGGCTGCCATTGCCCCCACCACGTCCACCGGCCAGAGCTTCACGAGCTCCGCCGGCCCTGCCGAAAGCGGTCGAACACATCCAGCTGTTGGTCGACCCAGCCTTTGTCGATTGGGCAAATGAGTTCTCGCTGAAAAGGGCAGAGGCGCAGGACGATGTCCCACCCCCACCACTACCCCCAATGGCGTGGACGGACCCGACGGACCCGACGGACCCGACGGACCCGGACATGCCAGCCATGCCAGCCATTCCAGCCATGCCAGCCATGGCCTTATCCCCGTCGGATGCTTCGGCCTCGGACTTTGCAACTTGGGCCAATGACTTCCCGCTCAGCGTGGTGGATGCCTCACCTGGCTCCTCTGCGCCGCCGAGACTTCAGCCGGGCTTGAGCTCAATGAGCTTCGGCTTGAGCTCAGAGTCGGCCTTTGCGGCTTGGGCCAGGGACTTCCCAAGTCCACCCATGGCAAAGGCGAAGAATGTCCCACCGCCGCCGCAAAAAGCACCACCGCACGCACCAGAACATGGAGGACATGGAGGACATGGAGGACATGGAGGACATGGAGGACCGGGGCAAGACGGAGCGAGGCCACTGCCAAAGGCAGCATCAGCGTCTCTGGTGCCAAGCCCCTCGCTCTCGTCCCTGCGGGGCGTCGGCAAAGCCCCGCCTCTGCCTGCATCCCGGCAATTCCCGGCATTTCGCATGAAATAGCTTCAGATGAAATCAGATGCGCTGAACAGTCTGAAGTTGCAACTTGGGTCTGAGGTATCTATCAGCCCCATCAGTCCTCCACCACCACATGATCCGGCGAGCGACTATCGCAGAGCTCCCACGATACCCGGATCGTGACTGCCTCAGAGTCAGCCAACCATGTAACATATAACATTGATATATATATATAACAATGATATTATATATATACGTACATATATATATATTGATATGAGAACGTGTTCATGACGGTCGGAGTTCAAGCTGAGGTTGTGGCGACCACCTGAACAGCTGCAGCGGCCACCTCCCAAAGGCATCTTCAGATGCCAAAAGAGTGCGGGTGCGAAGTGAGCGAAGGCGCACCTGGCACTCCCGGCGCGCCGTCTCGCACAGCACTCAGAGAGCAGTTTGCGCAATTTGCGCAAAAAGCAACGCAAGCAACGCAAATGGCTTGCAACTGCGTCTTGAGGTGACGGCCTTCCTACGCCGCGACGGTAGTCTGCAATATCGGGATCAGCAGTGTTTGCACCTCAGATTTTGTGTTTCATCAGTGGCTCACTGATTGCTGAGGCGCCAAGGCGCTGTACATAGGGAAACTTCATCTCAATGCGGATGAAACAGTGAGGATTGAAAGCATTGCAGGGATTTTGGAGCCGCTTCCGATGTCACATCACATTGACGTTAGGATACTTTGCGCCCAGTGTGGAGCTCGCCCTTCCGAAAGGAATGGAAAGGAAGAAATGGACAGGAAAAGACAGACAGCGAGCATGCAGAAAAGAAGTATTTCAAGCAGGTTGTGTGGACCAAATAGAATTTCAGCGTTGGATTTTTCTCTCTTGAAAATAGGTAAAACCTGGATTACAGTTAGGTACTACATTTAAAGATGCTTGTTTTTAATGCACATATTTATTTGCGCAGCCCAAATACGTAAAAGCCGCACGTTTGCGGCCGCCTGAATTTCAGTCATTTGCAGACTTAGGGTGGTCCTGTTGGTCCAGTTGGTCCAGTTTGCCCCGTGATTCCAGTGATTCCAGTTGGTGCACGTGAGCGCAGTGGAACCAATTCATTGCACCAATTGCACTACGAATTAGACCAATCATATCATATCGGGTTAAGCTGTAAATGGAAATGAGATGACGGGCGCCCTGAAAGGGTTATGTTTCCTGTCACAGCAAAACAACTGCTAAAGAAATTGGAGGACATGAACAGGGTATGGAAAGGATGATGGAAAGGACAGGGCAAGGGCACAGAAGGACATTGAGAGAATATGCAAAGTAGATTGCAAGAAAGGATTCTAAAGGACATGGAAAGGAGTGGACAAAGAGAATGAGAAAGGATATGGCAAGGAAAACCGGCATGATTTAATTCTTTACGCCGGAAATTGCGAAACGGGCACTTGTTTGGCCACGGCTGGCCTTGAGCAGGCCATTTATAAGCAAGCAGATGTCATTCCATGCCATTTCCTTTCATTCAACTTCTTTCCATTCCCTTCCCTGCCATCCAATTTCCTTCCATGCTCTTTCCATTCTCTGTCAAATGTCCTCTCGATTCCTTTGCATCTTTGTGTCCTTTCCATTTCTTTTAAATTATTCAGTATCCTTGAATTCCTTTCCATCAGTTTTCCCTTCTTTTCATTCCCTTCCTGCTCGCTTCTATTTCCATTCCTGTCCCTTTCCTTTCTGTTTCTTTCCCCCCTTTCTATGTCCTTTCTTTTTTCTGCCATTTCTTTCCGCTCCGTCCTTTCCATGAATTTCCTTTCCATTTCCTTTCCCTTTTCCATTCCGTTCCATTTCCTTTCCAGTTTCTCTGCATTGCTTTTCATTTCTTTCCATTTCCAGAATTGCCAGCCCTCTCTATTTTCCTTTCCTCATACCTTCTATTTGCACCCCAGACCCCAAACGCAAAATCACAAAGCCTTTTCGCTCATGGCGAGTGACGGGGGTGTCAGATCAGTCAGGCAGTTTCCCTGCAAAGCGACTTGGTGATGCTGCGGATGTCACTCCAGTTGACTCTACCCAGAGAGAATCCGGGTGTATTGGGCATCCCTGAATGCAACGCCCCTTACCATAAGCTTGACCATAGTCACTAGCAAGAGAGGCAACAGACACTAGCCAAGTTTTTCACTGCTTAGCACCGAACCAATAGCGCAATGATGTAGGGGCCTCTACATGTAAGTACACATCACAGAACGTAATTGCACATCTCAAAATGCTCGAGTAGCGTCACAAAATGACCCCACTTCACAGGCATGTGACCCAAAGAGACGTACAGCGTAAACTGAGCTGCAATGCTTTCGGAAATGCAAATGATTCTCGGACAAAGATGCCGGGCGCCGAGCGGCGAGCTTTTGCATGCAGTGTTTCAAAGACACAGCGCGTTGCGCTAGGATTTACAACACTGCTGAGCAGCTGTTTTCCAGGGAGTGAATGGCAATGTCAAAGCCACATGAACGATGAAAGTACAGTTTTCAATAATGCCAGCTTCACCTGCCCATTTTACAATCCGAAACGGATTCAGAACCAATGAGTTGTGATGCACTTGGATGCCAGCAGAAAAGGCAAGCGGCTTGTGATTCAAGGTGTCGAGGGATGTTCGCACGCGTCACCGACAAAACTAACTCTTGTCTTCACTATGTGTGTATATTGATATGCGTCAGGCACTTGGGCTTGTGCGTGTTTGGACCAGCGCCATTTGATTCCGGCCATTGGCTTGCAGGAAATGTGACACAGTGCAGCACAGTTGCCATGAATAGTGCACGACAGTGAAGATGTGTTGCATTGATTTGCGTTGCATATTGGCACATATGTTTCTGCTGCAGCATCATCTTGCCAATCGTGAGGTCCGCGTCACTCGGAGACACTTTCCGAACTGCTGGGCATTGTTGACGGATGTATCGAAGCAGTAAACATGCAATTTCGCTAGCCACTTGGTTTATGTTCCCATATGCGCTTGGCAAGCATGATGGCTCCGTGTCACGTAACTTCTCTGAAAGAGGTCGCTGCTTCAATTGGGAGGCATTCAGATTTTCCAACAAGTGGCATGAAGCTGCCACTTGGTTCAAGACTTATGCCCTCCCATTCAGGGCCTTCACGGTGTCGTCGGAAAAGAGTTTCCGGCGCCGCAGCTTGTAGGGTTGACATGTGGCCTTCCTGGGCCTGGTCTATTGGTTTTCGTAGTTCTCATTCTCCAACCCCCAACTCCTTCAACTGCTCAGAGCGTCGGGTTGGGTGCATCGTCAGCACCTTGTGCTCATTTGATTTTCTGGCTACTGCTTTGCCTCAAAGGGTGCGGCGCTCTGCATGTCAATTGCATGTCTGACCGTCTGAGACTTGGGGGTGGGTTGTCCCCGCCGAATGATCGGGTCGGGGAGGGGTGGTTGCACCTTAAGCGATCATGGTAATTCTCCGAGAAAGACGGTTGCCGCGTGCTCTGTGATTTTTTTGCAACGAGTGCCGCGTGCGCTGTGTGTTTTTGCAACGGTGGTGTTCTAGGCGGGGGGGGTTGGGGGGGGGGGGGGTGGCAGGGAAGATTTGGTCCTATGTGGCGTGCGCGCGCGGGATGATTGTTTCCCCCAAAGTGGTACGCGCGGGGGGGGATGTTTCCCTCACTCATGATACACACACACACACACGCGCGCACGCACGCACGCACGCACGCACGCACGCACGCGCGCAAGCACGCACGCACGCACGCACGCACGCACGCAAACACAAGCAGAGAGAGAGAGAGAGAGAAACTGAGAGCACAAAGGGCACTCAAACAGAGTGTCAAGCAATACACACACACACCAAGTACAATAACACAAACAAAACGCCCTTTTTATTTTTCATTTTCGAATCATTCTAGAAACTCCCAAAGGGGCAGGGGACTGTTGGGGAATTCCGAAACAATTTCTTCTAGCTCATTGAAATTTATACTTGTTCTATTTATTACCCAAGGGACGGGCGCACTCTGGGGAATTCCAGGTGCATTGTCCTAATTCTTACAGCTATTCTGATTATTACATATTTTTCACCAAGGGACGGGTGCCCTTTGGCGAATTCCAGATTCACGTGTTTTCGAATCATTCTACGTGATTTTATATTTATTCGCAAAGGGGCGGGTGCATTTTGGGTCAAATGTGTTCGAGTTAGTCTACTTCTCATAGCAATCATCACTCTCTGATGTATTCCCACAGGGGGTACCTTTTGGGGAAATCAAGATTCATGGTTAATCTAATGATTTTACTCATTCTAACAACTTAAGCAAATCTAAGGATTCTCGTTGTTTTCAAGCCATTTGGTGAAGTCCAGTGTGGTTTCCAGGTCATTCTGTTCTGATTATTCTGGTTGTAGCACGCATTCCCAACGGCACGGGGCCCCTTGGGGGAATCCGCCCCTAATTAGTTCCTTTGTTCTAGCTATTCCCAAGGAACGGGTGACTGGTGCCTTTTCGGAAATCCCAATTCCAGATTCATGTGTGTTTCAACTATAGTATTCTAACTAATCAACTTATTCTCATTCTAATCATTCCCAAAGGGGCGGGTGTGTCTTGTGGAATTCAAGACCCATGTTTGCCAGCTATTCTACTTATCATAACTATATTACTTGTTCTAATTATTATAATTCTTCCCAGAGGGACGGGTTGCTTTTGGAGAATTCCAAACCCATCTTTGTCCTACTGTCTTAATTATTGGGTATGCTTCCCCACAAAATTACAATTATTCTCATTTATATACTTATTGCGAAAGGGGCGGGTGCCTTTGGGGGAACTCCAGATTTATGTTTGTGCTAATTATTTGAACTAATCTAAGTATTCTACTTCTTCCAAAAAGTGGGGTGCCTTTTGATGAATTCCAGATTCATGTTTTCTAACTATTCTACTTATCATAACTCTTCTAATTCTCATCATTATTCCCAAAGGGACGGGTGACTTTTGGGGAATTCAAGAGGTCTGATTGACTTTTGGGGAATTCAAGAGGTCTGATTGCTAAGTATTCTACTTATCATAATCATTCTATATTATTCTAATTGAATCCCTAGGGAGCTGGGGTGCGTCTTGGGGAATTCCAAGCTCGTGTTTGCCCTGGGTAGGATAATTGTGTCAAAAGGGATGGGGCCTGTTGGTGGCGAGATTCGTGGTTCCCGCATTGTTCAAACAATTCGAGCCATTCCCAAATGAGCAGCTCCCATTTAGTAAGTTCTAGATTATTTCCCTATTTTCTATTTGGTCCCAAACAGGAAGGTGCCGTTTAGTGAGTTCAAGATTCACGTTCGCTGATTAGTCTACTTATCATCAGTCTTGTAAAATACTACTATCATTATTATTTACAAGGGACGGGCACCTTTGTTGTTCTAGGTACAACAATTACTACACAAGAGGTGGGTGCCTTGTACGTCTTCCCATTATTCTTGTCATTCCCAAAGGGGGGGGTGCTTGCGAGGAATTCCAGATTCTTGCTTTTTCCAATTCTTTATTCTCCAAATTGGGGAACTTTCAGATTCATTGTTTCTCTAACTACTCTACGTACAATATGTTCTGTTCTTGGGCGTGCCCAAATTATTCCAATTATTCCCAACGGGACGGGTCCCTTTTGAGGAATTCCAGATTCATTTTCTAGTCTAGCACATCTACTCATGAACTTATTATAATCATTCTTCCCAAAGGGAAGGGTGCCT